TCTCGTTGTAAATTCAGTCTTGTTGGGCATATAGGCCGCAAGCGCCTTAAGAACTCTTCGCTTTCAGGAAGAGGAACGGCGTGTTTCCTTTCCGCCTGAACCCCATTCTCCAGCTGCCTTCTCACGCTTTCACTCGCACAAAGAACACCTGAAGCGTACCGCGAACTTATCGGATTAGATGGTGTACGGAACCTCACGCTGCGACCGACGCCGATAACGGCCGCAAAGAACACGCCGTGATTGTCCGGAAAGTTGCTATTGCGAAATCTTCTAGGGCCCCTCGTGCATGCACCTAAGACGGTTCGGAGGTGAAAGTTCCTTTCTTCCTTCTTTTTTTCTGCTTACTCTTCTTCTTGTCGGTCGATGCATATAAAAGAGCAGAAAGCACAACCCCTGGCTTCATCAGTCGTGCTGCTCTTGTTCACCTATTAGCTGTGGCTCACACTCACTTTGTGGGATCGGTCAAGCAATGAGTGGTTTTATAGAACAGTATAAATGCTTAGAATAAGGTGGTTGCAGAGACATTGGAGATAACGTAGAACATTATGGTGCTTGATGCAATAGATAAATTTATATGAAAAAAGAAAACGCTACGATACCCAAATTATGCAGTAGGTAATAAAATAAAGCAATATCCTCAGTTTTAATATGATTTAATGGCGTAGATACGTTAGAATAATATTAACGTTGCTAAGCACAGTCCTCATTTTCTTATTGGGACGTTAAACCCCACATATCAATCAATCCATCCTCATTTCCTTATATTGAGAGTGTGCGTTCTGCAATTTTCTTCACCGCCTAATGCAAAGCGCTGCAACGGTACCGTGTGGCTTTACGTTACATGAACACACATGCCACAGTCTGTGACGTCATAATGACGTCAGAAACTTTCGAGATCTGAGACGTAATGATCACGTCATAAATTGGCTTCATCACGTGGCATGATATGTCACCTCATGACATATCACGCCACGGGACGGTCGTCACTAATGACCAAAGTTTTCGTTTGAGGAGGCATGCAACACTTCCGACTTAATGAATAAACATTACTATTCAGCCGTACGCAGACTGAACCACAAATTCCCATGGACCACGCGAGTATGTGGCCAAAAGCCTCTTCGCAACACTCCCGCTACGTCAGTGACGATCGACAGCACCAAACCACCCGAAATGCATCGCTCTCTAAAGCTATGGCCTGTCTGTTTTCTCAAGGGTGTTGGTGGTTGTGAAATTTTGCTACCCAAAAAGAGGTTTTATAGCATCCTGGGCTAGAGTCCAGGTGCATAGGGTATCTCCAACGTCGGTACAGAGAGCCCAAAGCTCTACGCCCCCTCGCGAGCCTCCGGGACAGCACAAAGTTGGTCTGCTAGTGAAGCTTTTCCTAGCACTTTGACCCACTGGTCCTTGCTCTTGGTGTAAGTGTCACTCCATGCACAACACCGAATATGGTTCAATTCTACACGTTAACTACACTGTTCACGCAAGTTTTCTGTCGTAGTCTGGATCGATATGCATCATGCATCGGGGGCTCGGGTATCAGTGATCGGGAGCAAGCGTAACGTGACGGACTAGCTGTACGCTAATTTCATATTTGGGAGGGGGAACTCCCACCGGCCTAGATCATACAGTGTTTCGTGTTGCATTAAAAGCGAATAATTAATCTATGTACTCCACGTGCAGTATATCGGGAAAACCGGAGTACCCGGAGTACAAATACTTTCCGCTTTTCACTTTTTCACGCGACGCACTTTTTGGCGTTTGCGTCTACGTGCTTTGTTCTCGAGAGCAGTTTATTGGCAATGCTGTTATCAGTCGCAATGTTTATCACAAACTGAAGCATGGCCAACAAAACGCCATTCGAGGGACGCCGTGATAGAGTTAACCCTGCTATGAAGATATAAGTGCGACGGTCATTGTGCACATAATCGTTTCGAGCGAAAACTGCGAAATAACAATGCGGTACGCCGCAGTGTAACATTAAAGGAGAATGACTGACAAGAAGAACCATTATCGGCCTAGTACTGTGATCAACGACAGATGGCGCACTGCTAGGAGGCTCGAACAGACAGTTCAGCATGCACTCGCATGGCCCTGAAACTTTTATGGCTTATTGCACACAGTATTTTCCCCACTTGTGTACGAAATTTAAACAGAGTAGAGGGTGTCGACGTTGCTTTCACAACTCCTTGCAACCTTGGTTAAAGGCCAGGGCGAACAAATGATGAACTATAGTTAGCACGCACAAACACGATACCAACAATTGTGTCGTCTGCGCTCATCAGGTGGTATTAACCCCAAATATTGGAGGAGCGCGGCCTGGTTGGAGACTTGCATCACGTCACAGCACGAACTCTACGAATGTTGCTGTGGCGCGTGTGTACATCACACGCCCTCGCTGCATCCGCGGCTGCGCAGCTAGCGTTCACTTTTTACTTGTCTCACGCTTAAAATAAATTACGGAAGCAGCATCGATGATGTTCGTAATAAAAGAACTAAAAACTAAACGTTTTTTTTTCAGTAGAATCACCAACGAGGTGCCTGCGCTCCAGCGCACACGCTTTGATGAGGTTTGTTATGGTGTCGCGCTGCTTACTTCGAAGATCGGTTCGATTCCCGGCCACAATAGTCGCACTCCGACGGGGGTGAACAGCAAGACAGCACATTGATTGATTGATTTGTGGAGTTTAACGTCCCAAAACCTTGATATGGATATTAGAGGCGCCGTAGTGGAGGGTTCCGGGAATTTCGACCATCTGGGTTTCTTTAACGTGCACCCAAATCTGAGCACACGGGCCTACAACAATTCCGCTTCCATCAAAAATGCAAACGGAGCGCCAAAATTATTACCAAACACATGCAGCTAAATAACGTGGTGAAATATGAGCAATATGAGTACCAGTTTAGATAGCCACCTGATAAATAAAATTTGCATGATTGATTACCTCAGAACAGCATCGATCTGTATATGAGCATGACGTGCGAGACCAATCGTTGCTTCACTGGGGCAGAGGACGTTTCATTATCGCTTGGGGCACGAAGCAGCATGTGCCATCAAAAGAGTTCATTTCCACCTTTTGACGTTCGTTTTGCAAACAATAGCTATCAATATGCTCCATTGTGAAGTGAACATTTCCGTTTATGACGCGATCGTAGATGAAGTCAGCTGCTTGCATAAATCAGGGTATGCGACTACGTAATCCTGACGACTGTTGAGAAAAAATCTCTACATGAGGTCCGAGTATACCGACTTCTCAGCATTCCGTTAACCATTCTTGGTTTGCAGCGTTACTTTTTTTCTCACTATTATAAGTAATTGTGTATGAAAGACAACTTCATCTAAAGTCTCCTGCATCCCAAAGTGGATTATGTCAAATGTGCCACATTTTTTGAGAGGCAGACAGAACCTGCATAGTAAATCGCATTGTTGTGAGTAAACTGAAAACGATCTAAATTTATTTGTATTAATTCGACACAAATGTTTATAAAACAATTGTGTCAGATGGTATTCAATGCAGTTTTAATGAAGTTAGGCCCATTTAGAAGGAACATTTTTTAGCACTTATTTTCCTGAGTACGTACATGGTGAAAACTACTAATGTCTCGCTGGCCTGCACCTTCATTTTCAAAGTGTATCCTTATTTAGTTAACCTTTACCAGCAATAAATACGTTTACTTTCTGCCTTTAGTAATACACTACTCCAAATTGAGAAGAAATCAACACCGTATAACTGAATAGTGGGTAGACGGTCAGCTAGGAAACAAGCGACCATGGGCATGCGTCAGCGGCGAAGCAGGAGAGTCCGTGCCGTGACCTCACTTCGCCACGACTGCAGCGACGCCAGTGTTTCTTCTCGGTGCTAATAGAGGGTGCTTTTGAGCTGCAGAACTATGTACATCGCCAAAATTTCGTTGTATTGAAAGTTTGACCGAGTGGTTGAGAGCTGTCTATGCTTGATAAAAAAAATCTGCATAATTGCGCATTTGGGTAGTTAAGTCGATCTTGAAAAGTAGTAAGGTTGACTGGTGATGTAGAATAATGAAGGCGGCAATACTTACCTGCACTGAAACGTTCGCGTGAGTGTTACCTATATAACCCTCAAGAATTATGAAGTACCTTTCCTGAGCAATTATTTTGTAATATTTAGACGCCCTTTTATCGTAAGCCGGTTCGGTTATGCATGACTACACTTCGACATGTTTGACTGCACACGCGCGCATTAACAATTTTAGGAACAACCAAGTAGCAAATAAGCATCAGTTCTCATAGGCGTCTCTCCAGTCAAGTCTTTTTACACTCTTGGCGTGAAGCGTCTGATACATTAACAATATGCGCAGAAACATAACCACTCGAGTGCGTCTAAAGAGTCGAAGGTGGTTCTTTATCATGGCTAAGCCGCGGGTCTCAACAACTACCAGCCATGTGATGGCAATAAATCTGCTTGTATTGTTGCCCACGAGCGATTACAGGCTGTACAACGTACATGCAAAAGAATTCCTAAGTGTGAGTGAAACCTCTTTGTCCTTGTTACCTCACGTGAAAAGTTTTCCTATACTTCGTAGCGATGAAATAAAGCTTTTATTGTAGCTGACCAGAGTACCTACGTGGTGCTGGCAGAGTTCCCTTAGCAGTTCTTTCACTTGACTTGGCCATAGTTACGGCTTTAGGCCTTCACAATATTTGATGATAATCCTTCATTCTGGTTGCCCAAAGCTATTGTGTGGCGCCTTGGGAATGCTTGTCGCTAAACTTTCAAACCAGTTTGCATATTCAGAGAGTGGCGCCCTCACATTATTTTTGCGCCACTTTCACTCTGACTGGTAGGAGTTAATTTTTGAAGCCTCCAGACAAAGTCACGTACTCCGTTATGACTGCGGTAATAAATGGCATTAAGAGCGACTCCCATAAGGTAGTATCCTGCATTCGTATCGTGCATCCGTATCCTGCATCCGTATCCTGCATCCAAGCACTTCGATGTTAGCAATGAACCAGCAGCTGTCAATGTGTTGAGAGATAATATTTTATTATGAAGAAGAAGGCGAGATACAGCCGAAATCAAGCGTCCATGTGCGCTCAGTATTTTCCGCCAGTAACCGTGATGCTCTCTTGTCACATTTGTTCACGTTATTTCATTTTACTTCAATAGGACACCGCTCGTGATTGCACTTCGAGAAAGGAGGCGTCGCTGAAGCCCCTCCGTAGAAGGCACCCAGTGAAAACAAAGGAGCTTTCCGCAGCGCTATAGCGAGATAACTTCTTACGGCACTAGGCACCTCAAAAGCATACTGATTTCTGTTGACAATGTACTCCATATGACTAATGTTTTATTCATCGAAAAAAAAAACTTTCACATGCATGCTTGTTGCCATAAAGCGCTTCAGTGTGAGCATTTACCTACTGGCAAAACTTACACTCAAATCAAGAGAAAATGTACGCAGTCTCTCCTGGGCACACGTCGAACTGTTTCTGTTCTCTTGCTGCGATGTGAACACCGCCATAGAAAAAAACATGGTGAAATGAGACTCCTTATATGTGCGTGAACGAGAAATTTCCAATTTAGGATCCCGCAGAGTAGAGCAGCAGCCACAACTCCTAGCGCAGAATGCACAATAGCCGGGTGGGTGTACATGGAGTGGACATCTTGTTGTGTGGCGACCGTCTTGAGCCGCTGATGGAGATGCGTTAACTACGAAGACGGGGCTTCATCCGACGACGACGATTGACGATTGCCCTTCTTGTGCGTCTGGGTCTTTTTCAGCGTCTTCACATCCAGTTCCCCGTAGTAGTTTTCGCTGCGAAGAGAAAAAGCAAAAGTGTGTAATCCGTGACAGTGACTAAAGCAAGAATGATAAACATCCCGAAAGTAAAGATGCCCCCTGCCGTTAGCACGGGCCGCGTTGCGTTCATTCGAGTGTGCATATAAGCAACGCGCACTCTTGATTATGCGTAGCGCAGTCTCTCTAAACCAACGGAACAACTTGTCTGACAGGTGTTCTCGTTCTAGTACTCTATACTACTCGATAATGCATTATACTGATTTCGCTCCAGGTTCCACTGCGAAAAGTTTATAAAAAATGGCATCTGGTGTATTTTACTACGACCACAGAAATTAGGTGCAACTGTAGATATTTTGTAGAACTTCTACAGAAAAACAAAAGATAACCAAAAATACCTAGGTATAGCACTAGTGATCACTCGCTACACTGCGAACAAGCAATATTTGTCGGCCATGTGGGTTACCCAAGAAGGATGTGTAGCGACGACGGTTACTATGCGATAAAAACTTAAGCAACCCGAAGCAAACGCCGACCGCAGGATGCTGTAAACAGGACGTAAAATGCGGCATGTACATTTGATTTGAAGAGCAGCACTGCATGAACAAGGCCGTAAAGCGCAGCCCAGCCAGCCGTTGGCATTTATTACAAAACACTCAGATGTGCTCCCAAGTAACAATCCAATACTAACCACCACCGTGCCACAATAGGTAAGAGCATCGTGGCATAATGCGACGGTTATCTCATCTTAACGGGTATCGAGCGCCTAAGAAACGCGCTTCCCGAACTACAAAAGGTCTTGTACCTAGGTGTCAGTATAACCAATAACCTTTATGGGTGTGCACATAATAACGTTATATCACCTGCTCACAAAAAGCAAGGATTTTTTAAACCCAACACGGTGACCCAAATAAACATTTTTCGTCAACCCAAAACTCGAGTACGCGTCTTGCATCTGGGGTGGAAAAAAATTGCTTCCCCAACACTGCTTGAATCCATTCAAAATCATGCCACTATATTGATTTGCTCAGCACGACTTGCTCGCTCGATTCCGTGCTGAAAAATTGTGTTGCTCGCAATCTTAGACGTCAACGTAGCTCTCGCAGATTCGGCCCGCCATCCGCGATCTCCTGACGTCGTATAGCTCTTGCAGAGTTGTGCCCCATCCTCGGACTTCTTCAACAGTGTGCCCCCTTTCATATCTATTTCTTTTATCTGTCACTCCTGTGTGGTGAGTGCTCTCTCTTCTTCCTCTTTTTCTATTCTGTTTCTTCACTTTCTCCCATTCTCTGCAAGGTACGGCACCGTGTCGTCTATAGGCAAACAGAGATCAGGTTCGTTTTTTCCTTCTTAAAGAACCGCGCATTCCCTAAGCATATTCGTGTAACATCACAAATCAACACTAAAAAGAACCTCCTTCTACCATCCCTTTTTCACAGCAGTCGCATTTCCAGCCTATCAATGTTTGACAAATTTTTCTACAGTTTCTTTACCCTCGCACCATACACAAGCGCAGGTCATCCTTTAAATGCCGCTCGCCAATATTGCGCACAGTCAGGTTTTTGTTCCTTTTTTCCCCCGTGTTGCTGTAGACTGCAACAGCCTTTCCTCTTATGTTGCTGACACGACCTGCTCATCTGCTTTTACAAAAAAAGTATCTGCATTTCTTCTACCCTTAGAGTGTTTCATCTTTTAAATGCCAACCAATATACGCTCTCTCTGTTTGGAGCCTTTAGGGAATAAAGAATGAATGAACGACTGGATACAAAAATAAGCCTAATGCCCACATAGCCCTTTATTCTTGTCCAGAATGTAAGAGTCGCAAACACTTTCAATATGGCGTTATAGTGAAAAGTGACCCAAGTAATAATGTCCACCACATAAAATCTAACTTCACCAGCACTTGTTCAAACGATACCTACACGCTCGAATGTTCATAGTCTGGCAAACGACACAACGGCGAAACAGGATAGCCTGTTTACGTGAGATAGAATTTGCACCATGTGGACATCGTCAAGCCATTACCTAAAGCATTGGGAAAACATTTTAATGCAACAGGCCACCACGTCAGTCACCTCAAGCTTTATATACTTCAGTCAAACTTCTATTCGAAACGAAAGATATGATATAGAGCAACGACTAATTCGCAAGTTTTATACACTGCAGTAAACACTTACAAGCGTTTCAAAGGGAGCCCTTGAGGCCATTCAATATACTAGATACGCAAAGAAATGCAGTGACATATATTTTTGGAATTTCTGACGTTCTTGAACAACACAAAACTATCATTGTCTTGTAGTCCTTACGTTTGAAAACTTCGATTGAGCAAAATGCCCACAGCCCTTTCAAGCCTCTTCCTACATTGGCCCCTGACCTTTCTTTTAGATGCGCGGATGATTACGGCAGAATTCAATCCTGTGTGTGGCGTGAGCACTCTTCATACGCATAAACCAACTGTCCCCTCTCTCCTCCCACTTACGCGAGGAGGTGCGAAGAGGTGGTAGAGCACTGCCTATCATTTCTCCTCTCACGTTTATTTCTCTGCCACAGCTGTGTGTTCGTTTATAATGTTGCGCGCACTCGCGCTGTTGCTTTCTTCTAGAAGCTATGGGAGTTCACATTACGGCGCAGGCATGGTAATGCGCAGAAATGCGAGGGGGAGGGGTAACATTCGCGGTACACCACATATACACAACTCCACACGCAAATGAAACATGAGGAAACACATACGGAAACAAATTGAGACGCAAGTAAACAGAAGCGCTGCTACGCATCCCCACATGGTGCCCCTTGGTGGGAGAAGGCGTAATTTTTTTCTTGGTCTTTGCTACCTCTCGTTTTTACACACCTAACTGGGCACACCATGCCCAAATTTCACTCTCGCACCATCTCCTCTTTTCGCACGCCCTCTTTCTTTTTCTGCTTTGGTTGGGGTGGGCGTACAAACCATATACATACACAGGGTAAGCATTTGCTGCCTTCAAGAAAACAAGACCCCTCGACGAAGTGTTCAAGAGGCCGCGCAACGCTTTTTCAGTGTGACCAAAAAACGCTGCCGATCTGAATTAGAGTTTACCTATAACACACAAGCCAAACATTACAGCATGGTGAGGGGCCTGGAATTTACACCTATTTTTCAGAATCAGCGAGAACTTCCTCCCTCTTCTATCTACCAATTATGCCTTATACACAAAGTTTTGAGCACTATGCCGACATCCGCAGTGGTTGGCTTATTCTGAGCATCGTCAGCTGAGTGGTTCCCGTTGCCACCGAGCGATTCCACTGGGCGCCCGAACGCTCTATCGCGATCACACTAAATGAAAGCCTCTAGTTGGAAAATTGAAACAAAAAAGATGCCGAAAGTCGGGACGTGCGAGAGGAAGACACGCATCTTATCACCCCTTATCAACCTCTCCCTGCGTATCTTTCGGCATGCTCCCTGGCACAAAAGGAAGTGCTTGAAACTTGCGTGGAATACCTACGACTCCACACGTAACTGAGAGATTACAAAATCTTTCCTGGATTGTAATTAGTGATGCATCGTGCACTAATAACGAGGATACTTTAGCACTTTAATGCCAACTGTATCATATTCGGTACAATGAATATAATACCTCCATAAAGCTACTATATATCGGTATCATAAAAAGCAGCTATTGCAGATTTGACAGCATGAAGAATATACAGTGGTTTACAGATTATACAATAGTAGTTATGTATTTGCAATTATCCCTGATTAGGTTATTCCTCAAAACAAGTTTCATTCATATTTTTCTTAAAGTGAACTGTACACGAAGAGCAAAACAGTCAGCGTTCTCTAGCAATTTTTCTGAAGGCATAGTGGTTCATAGGAATTACAGGGTTAGAGCGTAAAAAAAGTGTAGTAGGGCCCCTTTAATATGCTAAAGAACTTGTCTTCTCTTGCAGCCCCTCTGCGATACCTGTGCATTGTGCTATGCGTTGACGCTGCGGATCAAGCTTTCTAGTAATAGGTATTTGAAAACATCAAGGGGGTTCTGAAGGAGATATATAGGTATGACTACTGTATTGTTCAAGGCGTTGCGATAATTTTATTGTTTTCTGACTCTCCATAACACGTTGTTTTTTGCGGTATCCTAATATTCACGAACGTAAATATCAAGTCTACTAAATAACAGCTAAGTCATCATCGTCGGTAAGGAGGAGGAGGTAAGTTTGTTTACAGAAAGGCAGAGAGGTCGGCCTGAGCGATAGCTTGCTCTAGCCTGCTACTCTACACTGGGGGAAGGGAAAGAGGAAAAGAAAGATTAATGGATGACGATGGTGAAATAGAGAGGTGAGTATGTAGTGTTCTTTCTAGCTGAGACACATTTCATAGCCGCGCACATAGTCCAGTTGTTTCCAAAAAGGTTATAACTGTTCTTGTGACCGCCGTTTTACTGTTGGTGTCTGGCCAAGGACCCAACATGGTCTCATCAGTTGATGACTTACTGTGATATAGTTCAGTAGAAGAAATAAGTGTTTGTCGTTCACGTGCGTATGCTGGGCACGTGAACAACAAACAACAAAATATGTGCTCAAGTGTTTCTGGCACATCACAGTGTTCACAATTAGGACCGGTGTCACTGCGACAGTTGATATGTGCGTAACGTCTGGTGTACGCTACACCAAGACGAATGCGGTGGATCATACTTGTGAGTTGCCGTTTCAATTAAGGCGGCATGCGGAACCTCATTTCCGGGTCCCATTTGTGAAGTCGCTGGTGTCGCCGTTCCGGATTGGTCCCGTGCTGAAGTGTGTAGCTGCGCATCACGCCGCGAAGCAGGGCGTTCGTGTCAGCTCGTGAAAATGCAATGCGTACTTCAGGGGCACTGCTTAAGGCATTTTTAGCTTCAGCGTCTGCCTTTTCGTTTCCTATCACGCCGCAATGAGCAGTAATCCACTGGAAAGTTATAAGATCACCATTTGTTGAAGCGACCTGAATAAGTTCTGTGATTTCTATTGCCAAGCTGTAATACGGGCCTTGCTTCAGGATACAA